TACTCTCAAATTTTTCAAGGTAGAGGTCGTGGAAGTCGTGGAAATGGTCAAGGTGGTCAAAGCAGCAGTAATGAAGGATATTATAAGAAGAAGAGACAGTCGAGCCAAGAAAATTGGCGTGGAAGAGGATGCAGTCAAGGAAGAGGCGGCCGATCAATTTACTCCAACATTCAGTGCTACAAATGTCACAAATCTGATCACTATGCGAATAATTGTAACTCCGACAAATGTTACAATTGTGGTAGAATGGAACATGTTGCAAATGGTTGTCGAGCCAGAAAAAAGGTGGAAGGAGCAACCAACCTAGTCTTGGAAGACGTAACAAATGAAGGTCTTCTCTTGATGGCTCAAGATGAAGACAACATTAACCACGACACTTTGTGGTACCTCGACTCAGGGGCAAGCAACCATATGTGCAGTCACGACTACCTATTCAAAGAGATGTAAAAGATTGAAGATGGTCATGTGTCATTTGGAGATGCGTCAAAGGTGGAGGTCAAAGGCCGAGGTACGATACATTTCTTGCAAAAGGAAGGTGTAATGAGGTCAATCCAAGATGTTTATTATGTACCAGACCTCAAGACCAACATATTGAGTATGGAGCAACTCACAGAGAAAGGTTACTCGATATTCTTAAAGGACTGCCTGCTACACCTAAAGGATAAGCAAGGGCGTTTGGTTGCTCGAGTCGAGATAGGAAGAAATCGGATGTATAAACTGAACTTAAGAAGCATATGAGAAAAGTGTTTGCGAGTCGACGTAGTAGACAAGGCATCACTGTGACATCTCCGCTTTGGTCACCTACATCATGGCGGCCTAAAGGAGTTAGCGAAGAAGAATATGGTGAATGGGCTACCCAACATGGACTTTGAAGGAAAATTTTGTGAAGAATGCGTGCTCATCAAGCATACGAGAACCTCAATTCAAAAGAAGGCTGAATTTTGGGCTAAACAACCTCTCGAGTTGATCCATACAGATATATGTCCACCAATTACCCCCGAGTCTTTTAGCGGAAAGAGGTATTTCATTTCCTTTATCGATGATTACTCATGAAAAACTTGGGCTTACTTTCTGAAAGAAAAATCAGAGTCGTTCGAGGTGTTCAAAAAGTTTAAAGTGATGGTGGAGAAGGCAACTGGTAGACACATCAAAACTGTACGATCTGATAGAGGTGGCGAGTATACTTCGATGGCTTTCATGGAGTATTATGAGGATCAAGAAATAAGGCGATTTCTAACCGCACCGTACACCCCTCAACAAAATGGTGTGGCCAAGAGAAAGAACCAGATCATTCTCGACATGGTTTGATCAATGCTCAAGAGCAAAAGGATGCTAAAGGAATTTTGGAAAGAAGTCATGCAATGCGCCATCTACATACAAAATCGATGTCCGCATGCGAAGTTAGATGATGAAACACCACAAGAGGCTTGGACCGGACAAAAGCCTACAATCTCTCATCTCAAAGTGTTCGGTAGTGTGGCTTATGCTCACGTACCGGATCAACGAAGAACGAAGCTCGAATACAAAATCAAAAGGTATATTTTTATTGGATATGATGAGAAGACAAAAGAATACAAGCTACTTGACCCAATGAGCAAGATGGTGATAGTGAGTTGTGATGTGTGAGTAAATGAAGCAAGCGAATGGGGCTGGAACAATTCAACGGAAGTCAATATTGAAGTTGGAGAATCATTAGTCGTTGCACCAACAAGTGCACCAACAGGCTCAGAAAATTTCGATGATGAAGATGAAACATGACAACCCAAAATGCGAAGTTTGCGAGACTTGTATGATTCAACAAATGAGGTACACCTTGTATGTCTTCTAGAAGATGCTGAAAATATTAGCTTTGAAGAGGCAGTGGGAGACAAGAAGTGGCAAACTGCCATGGATGAGGAGATTAAAGTGATTCATTGCAACAATACATGGGAGGTGACAGAATTACTGGAAGGAAGTCAGTCCATAGGTGTGAAGTGGGTATTCAAGAAAAAGATGAATGCTCAAGGCAAGATAGAGTGGTACAAGGCGCGACTCGTCGTGAAGGGATACAAGCAAAAGGCAAGAATCGATTATGACGAATTGTTTGCTCCTGTCACAAGAATGGAGACAATCCGACTGCTCCTTTCCCAAGTGGCTCAATTCAAATGGCCGATTTTTCAAATGGATGTCAAGTCGGCATTCTTGAATGGTGTACTTGAAGAAGAAGTCTACCTCAAACAACCACCCGGATACATGAAAATTGGAGAAGAGAAGAAGGTACTAAAATTGAAGAAGGCGCTTTACGAGTTGAACAAGCACCGGGAGCATGGAATACTCGTATCGATACATACTTCTAGGAGAACGGGTATAAGCAATGTCCCCACGAGCATGCACTTTACACAAAGAAGAGGGGAAGTAATGTGATACTTATCGCTCTTTATGTCGATGACCTCATCTTTTCAGGCAATAATGATAAAATGATAGAAGAGTTTAAAAGCACAATGATGCGAGAATTTGAGATGATAGACTTGGGCTTGTTGAAGTTTTTCCATGGTTTGGAGCTTAAACAAGGAGAGACGGGTATCTTTATATCACAGGAGAAATATGCAAAGGGGATTTTGAAGAAGTACAAGATGAAAAATTGCAACCCGGTATCAACACCAATGGAACCAGGTGCAAAACTCTCAAAGTACGATGAAAGAGAACGAATAGATGCAAATAGGTACCGAAGCCTGGTAGGAAGCCTTCGCTATCTTACATGCATAAGGCTAGATCTTTCATTAAGTGTCGGCATTATAAGCCAGTTCATGGAGGAGCTGATTTATTCACATTGGAAGGCGTTGAAGCGAGTCCTATGGTACATCTAAGGAACGGCGTCACTTGGGTTATTCTACTAAAAAATAGAAGATTACAAATTAGTTGGTTACTTTGACAGTGATTGGTGCAAAGACATAGACGATAAAAAATGTACATCGGGTTATGTATTCTTCGTGGGCAACACAACATTTACTTGACTTTCAAAGAAACAATCGATCGTGACACTCTCGATGTGTGAAGCAGAGTATGTGGCAGCATCCTGGTGTGTGCGTCACCCGATATGGCTTAGAAATTTTTTGAGCAAGATGGAGATAAAGCAACAAGGTGCAACCGTGATTCAAGTTGACAACAAATTAGCAATTGAGTTGGCAAAGAACCCAGTGAACCATAAAAGAAGCAAACACATTAACGTTCAATTTCACTTTATCCGAGATCATGTGAAGGAAGGAAGAGTGGAATTGCTGCATATGGCAAGTCAGGATCAAGTTGCGTATATCTTTATAAAACTGCTACCGAAACTACTTTTCGACAAATACAAGAAGATGATTGGCATGACAAATGGTAGGAACATATAAGTATATGGGGGAGTTTTGTTGAAATAAACTTAAAATGCCAAATGCAGTTAATTTGTTAAGAAAGTTAATTTAAAAAAGCAGGTGAAAGAAAAGACACAGAGTTTTTGTAGTAAATGATGGTACGGGTTTATGGGCGTTTCTCTCGCCCTATTATTAGTATTAGAAAAGGTATAAATACCTAATCCTTTTCCTATATAAAGTCGGATAGAAAATAGAAAGAAAAGAGATACAGAGCAATAGAAAAGGTTTTTTTTTTTATAAAATTAGTGTTCTTTGTCTCCTTGTCTCTCCTCTCTCGATATCTCCTTCACAAGTTCGCAAGTAGTACTTTCATAAAGTTGTATCGAAGTGTTCTATCGTTAGTATGTGTGAGATTTACTTCACAGATTATGGTAGGAACATATAAGTATATGGGGGAGTTTTGTTGAAATAAACTTAAAATGCCAAATGCAGTTAATTTGTTAAGAAAATTAATTTGAAAAAGCAGGTGAAAGAAAAGACACAGAGTTTTTGTAGTAAATGATGGTACGGGTTTATGGGCGTTTCTCTCGCCCTATTATTAGTGTTAGAAAAGGTATAAATACCTAATTCTTTTCCTATAAAGTCAGATAGAAAATAGAAAGAAAAGAGATACAGAGCAATACAAAAGGTTTTTTTTTTATAAAATTAGTGTTCTTTGTCTCCTTGTCTCTCCTCTCTCGATATCTCCTTCACAAGTACGCAAGTAGTACTTTCATAAAGTTGTATCGAAGTGTTCTATCGTTAGTGTGTGTGAGATTTACTTCACAGATTAATGAGTCTTATTTTAACACATCTTTTGCCGACTTTGTGCAGAGAGTATCCTCTGTCTGATTTTTTGTACTGCTGCATGGGTAGTTTGTACCAACTTCGACCCCAACAACTGTTTCTTGCCTACCTCCTCCCAGAATATACGGGTTTTGCACCTCCGCCCATATAGAGCTTCGAATGGTGTCATCCGAATGGTTTCCTGGTAACTGTTATTGTAGGCAAATTTTATTAGGGCCAGGTGCTCATCCCAGCAACCTGTTGTCACGACCCGTATAGTCCTCCTATGGGGGGCGTATAGTCCTCCTAGGGGTGTGCTGAATACGCCTACGCCCATATAGTCCTCCTATGGGGGGCGCGACCCAACCCGTTCCCATGCAGCTAAATGGGCTGTACGACGTGGGGACACATTTCCCATGCGAAATGGCTAAGAGTAGTAAGGACTGATTAGGGACCCTTGGTCCTCCCACGAAGCTATAGATACCGTTCTCACGCTAGCAATCTATGAACACTCCTAGGTACTTTCTTGCCATGGTGAACCCCTAAGTTCCTAGGGGAAAATTAAGTCTGGCTAGAGCGACATATCGCTCCTAACAGTAATTCTCTAAGCTTATCATAGAAATGGGCCCTAGCAATTAACAGAATGTGCATGCAACCTTCTTCAAACATCATAGTATGTAATTCATGCAAACTAGGCATACCGGCTCAACGGGGCGATGACCTCCATCAAGCACCCAGAGCACAAGTTCGCGCTCAATGGGGCGAATTCGTCCATCAAGCACCCGGAACACAGCATACACAATTCTAACATAAATTAAACGCATGCATACATACGGCGGAAGCTTAAAGGCAACACTCATGTAATTCATCCAATACAAACATAACAATTAATCTGATTAATACTTTACATGGAGAGCTAATCTGAAGCAGAACTACTAACATGCAGGTAATCCAAGCGAATCCTACAAGTATTTCTTCCTATATACCGGGTGGTGACTTACCTGGTTGACACGTGCTCTTTCTGCTAGCATTTCTTTGCCCGTGAGGTGTCCAAAAATACTGATTTCTTTAAATTAGGTCCCTATTCACGTAAAAACAGTATTAGAATTGGAATCGGGACAAAAATTGAGCAAATAGAAAGAAACCGGGCCAAATTGGCTATCCCGCGCGCGCTCACGCGCCAGCAGCGCGCTGGGAGTGCGTGGTCACGCCCGCGGGAAGGCGCTAGTAGCAGGCTGCACACGCGCCCGCCTCCGCGTAGTCGCGGGTCAGCCGGTCCGGTCAGCTCGGCTCGCGTCGCGGTTCAGCCCGGCTTGCAGGCGACACGTGTCGACGCCTCGCCGGAGCTGCGTTGCTCCAACCGATGGTCGATGCGTGTCCGGCGCCTGTCGCCGCTCGCGAGCGACTCTTTTTTTTTCTTTTCTTTTCTTTCTTCTCTGCCCTCTGAAAACCGAAACACAACCCTCTTTTCCGATTTCTATATCTTTCGATTCGTAGATCGGATCGACATGATTCCTTCGGCAAAATTTTAGATCGTGTTACGGGCTACGTCCTCATATTTTTTTTGTAATTTTTGCTTAACTACCAGACGAGTTAAGAAGGTCAGAATTTTGCTCACCGTTCTCGGACGACTCTTGGATCTCCGCCTTCGGGTTGAGGTCTCGGCCAAACTTCTTCACAGATCATGCGTAGAGTTGTTCCTAGATGAATATATCAAGATTTTAGATCTTGATTCACAAAGGAAAACCGTAGATCTGAGAAAACGTTCAAGATCCTTACCTTGCGGGTTTTCCGACTTCTTGATGAAAAATGGGACTCCGGCCACCCACATTCTCTTTTCCCTTCCAAGAAAGTTTCTCTGCATCATGATCTTCACCTCCTTGCATCATGATCTTCACCGGAATAGACTCCGACGGTAGTTTTCGGTGAGTCTTTCGGCGGTTCATCCTTCTCCTCTCTCTAGGTTCTCTCTACCCTTTCTCTCACTATCTCTCTTTTGCAGGACTATGGATGGGGTTTCATTTGGACCCCTTAGGTGGCTGGAGGGGCAAATTTACCTATTTGCCCCTCTCTCGACTTTTCCTATTTTTTTTCTTTTTCTATTTCTATTTCTCTTTCTTTGGGTATTACACCTGTAAAGTCTATAACACATGCCCTCAACATATCCTCTCAAGTGTCTGATTAAGTCTCTCAGTTTGCTCATTGGTTTGAGGATGGAATGTTGTACAGAACTTAAGTTGCATTCCCAACGCCTTCTGTAACCCTTTCCAAAAGTTAGAAGTAAACTTAGAATCTCTATCAAACACAATGGACACTGGCATGCTGTGCAGGCAGTTTATCTCCTTGACGTACAACTGGGCCCACTGGTCCACTCGATAAATGGCTCTACCTGGTATAAAGTGGGTTGGCTTAGTTAGTCTGTCAACAATGATCTAGATGACACTAAAGCCTCGTCGAGTCTTTGGTAGGCCCGCGATGAACCTACTGGTCGCTGTCTCGGGGCCTTTACCTGCTGACAGATCAAACACCGACACTCATACTTAGCTACATCCTTCTTCATTCCCGGCTACCAATAACTACAATTCAAATCCTAATACATCTTAGTATTACCAGGGTGGAACATGTAGGACGTGTTGTGTGTCTCAGTCATGATTTTCTGTGGAATCTTCTCATCTCGTGGTACGCATAATCGGTCTTGCCACATCAATCCCCCTTCAGAAGAAACTGAATATCCCTCTAGTCTCTCAGTTTCTTGCTAACCATAGATCTTGCTAAGGTGCGTATCAGTTCTTTGAGCTTCGATGATACGTCTCTTGAGGGTGGGTTGGACTAACAGTTGCGCTAGTTGAGCGGTGACGCCTCTAACCAAGACCTCTATTCGAGTTGCCCACTCTGCTGCGTGTCAGCCAACGTGTGGAGCACGCCTCACCAGTCGAAATGCGATACGTGTCTAACATCGATTCTGCCGTGCTCCTCCTTATGCCAGCCAATGCGTCGCGGCGTCCTTTCTCTCTCCTACGTGTGTTTAAATTTCCAAATTGTTAGGTGTATTCACGTTTTCAATATATTTTCTTTGGATTTTTTTATCTTCCAATCCGTAATTCGAATCAACAAGTTTTCTTCATGAACATTGTAGATCTCATATTCTACTCCTTCGATATGATTTTCTTATATTTTTCTGATAATCACCTGTCTTAATATTCAAGTTCAAATTTGGAGAAAAATACAAGTTCTTACCAAAAATTTCGTTTTCTTGAAACTCTGATTCGAACGGAAGTCTCGACCGCCTTCACTCCAAAACTTGCAAAGATCATAGTCATAAGGGTAAAAGTCCAAGAATCACTCAAAAACGCCACTAGCACACGAAAATCTTGATAAATATTTCAATCTAGACATCTGCGGACTAACCTTGAGTTCTTCGCCATTTTTGACGAAATAGGAAGGTGTGATTCGTGAATGCACATTGCCTTGGACTGCTAAAGAACTAAGTCGAGGATTTTCAGATCTCCGGCGTCAATTTTTTATCCTCCAACTTAGTTTATGGTTTGACAATAAATAAATTATTCATTTGAGAATAAGTGGTACATAAGGTATAAGATATCATTATAAGAATAAAATAGACTTTTGACCCAACTCTAATTATAAAAAAACTCATAAACGAACAACTTGCTTTTAATGACTATATCAATAAACAAACTTTTTCTGCAAGACATAAGAGTACACTTCAATGTAAGTAGTTGTAATACCCCGTTTAAAAAAAAAAAAAAGACACAAAAAATGCGTGTGGCAACCTGACGCCGACATCGGGTACAAGAAGGTAGACGGCAAAATACAACTCCCCACCCAATTTTTCGAGGCTAAAATCTCAGTTGAAGATGTTGGGGAGGTGATTTAAGAGATATTGGAGTAGAAGGAGGAGGGAAACATGCGAGATTTTAGGATTAAGTCACTAGAGAAGTTGAGTTTAACCCACGTCCGTCGAAGAGTAAACACCCTAGATCTGTTGGGATTCAGCATGAGTTGGGACGCGATTTTGAAGAAGGAGCAAGAGATCGAAAAGGAAGAAATCGAGAGTGTCGGTCATGGTAATGTTTTGGGGGTTTTTCAAAAACTTCAACTTATATGTATCTTGAAGTCAACCAAATGTGGCAATTCTTGTCCCTGTTGGTTCCATTTGACAAGATCTATGAGATCTATGAAGAAGCCAAACGTGGAGGAGGCTAGTATTGGCACGAGTTGGTTGAATAAAGAAGGAGCCGAGAGAAAGGGGTAGTCGCGCAACAAATCTAGGTTGTTTACACTCCAGAAGAAGAAGAATTGGCTTAAGATATTTTATGACTTATGACTATACCGTGTGGAGGCTAACTGGCATACTACTGTGATGTTTGCCAGTTAGCCTCATATAATGAGTCTGTCACGAGAGGCAGGGGTCCACAGTTGTACCTTACGAGTTGTTTATGACTATTGTTTATGATTGTGAGTTAGGCTTCAACTAACATCTAATTGTAAACCTGACTCGATTGTGAGGGATTCACCTTGCCTCTGTCAAAGGAAGGCGGTTTATGCCTTTGGAAATCTTTCAAGTAATAGGACTTCATGGTCATAGTCCCTGAATCTCTGGTCCCTTGCACTGCTGTCTGATTAGCCAAAGAGTGTCCGCATCATTTGGGTCATCAGAGCCTGATTTTCCATTGAGGTCAACATGAATGGTTGTAATACATCTAGCGTGGGCGTGGTTAACAGCTGGCTAGGAGGAAGTTCCGTACTAGTGGTTGGCACCGATTGGACCTCCTCGGAGAAGGAAGAAGTAGGGTCTATATCAAGCAAGTTTTGGTCCTTTGCCCTCTTTCAAGGATTTTTAGTTCTTGATGCCCCCTGATTGGTTCTCTCGCTAGTTTGGGGTGTGTCGCTAACCTCCTCTTGAGATTCAGGTTGTTTCACTTCAGGTGTTGGAACACGGGCGTCCTGAACAACTTTTCTTCTTCCCCTTCTAAGTCCGGGCCTAACATAGAGTTCACGTCAATTGGGTGGCATTATCTACCACAACAGAAAAAAAATTGCGGTTACGATTCATGCATAGCACATCCTCGAGTAAATGTCTAATTATAACACAACAGAAAGTCATGGTATAGTCACTAAACACTATCTTGAATTTTGTCTCCTTATTTCAAATCCGTGAAAACGTCTGGTCGTGAGATGTACGTGTTTGATGGGCGTGGTCACAGAGGATACTCTCTATTCTAAATGTCTACAGGACTTATAACCTAGTGCTCTGATACCAATTTGTCACTACCAAAGCCCACCGCTAGCAGATATTGTCCTCTTTGGGCTTTCCCTTTCAGGCTTCCCCCAAGGATTTTAAAACGCGTCTACTAGGGAGAGGTTTTCACACAGGGGGTAGACACGAGGCGGTGTGCCAGCAAGGACGCTGGGCCCCAAAAGAGGTGGATTTGGTGGGAGTCCCACATCGATTGGAGAAAGGAACGAGTGCCAGTAAGGATGTTGGACCTTGAAGGGGGGTGGATTGTGATATCCCACATCGGTGGTGAAAATCTCTCCTTAGCAGGCGCGTTTTAAAATCCTTGAGAGGAAGCCCGAAAGGGAAAGCCAAAGAGGACAATATCTAGTAGCTGTGGACTTGGGCAGTTACACAATTTGAACATGAAATGAGTTGGTTTGTTGTATGTAAGAGAACGTGAAATGTTTTGATCCAAGATAACATATGTGGAAATGTTATTATGTATGTTACTAAAATGCGTACGTACTGTCTTATGAACTGAAATTCATGACTAGGCATCCATGTTTAGATCGCTATGCTATGTCTCTGTTTTATATGTTATGATGTATGCGGTTATACAGGGACGATTAAGGGTTCGCCAGCTAACTCCTAATCGTGAACCTAACTCGATTGTAACATGAGTGACAGAGGTCTACATTTGTACCTTACGAGTGACAAAGGTCTACATTTGTACCTTATGAGTTGGTTATGATTACTGTTCATGTATTTGATTTATGCGGTTATACGAGGACGGTAGGAGTTCGCCAACTAGCCCCTCATTGTAAACCTGACTCGATTATCAAGGGTCCGGATAACCATAGAACTGGCATATGATGTTTTATGATATATGATTTGTGGAGTGGGGATTATTAAGAAGTTTGCCCCTTACCTTCCTTTTAGTCAGCCTATTTGTATCAAGGTCATGCCTCAAAGATCCAAAGATATGATGATTACGAGAGACTAGCAGAGATGATGATGAGAAACTACAGAAACGACTAAGAGACCGAATGCATTAACTAAGATTAATAAAACTCAATAACGAACGACAAGCCACAATAGAAGGATAACACTCAAGTCAATGAAGTTTTTTTGTTTTTCGTTTCATGTTTCACCATTTATCTTTTATTCGGTCAAAATAGAAGAACAAAACAAAAAAGAGTAGAAGCTACTTAAAAGATAATACTCGAATAAGAATAAGAGATTAGAGATGGTGAGCTAGAGTAGCACCTATGATATTTTCTTCTTGTTTAGCTTTTCTCAACAATAGCATTTTTATGTCGTTGCTGCGCTACCTGCTCGGGATGCTCACCAAAGTTATTTAAAACTATCTCCACGGACCAACATAATTTTTTTTAAGCTTATTTTGTCTTTACTTACATACTTGTTAAGAAAATTTCAAGAGGTCACCTAACGTAAGATTGTTCTAAACTAAATACGCTTAAGTTTGGAATCTTATGATTGATCCACCAAAAGTAGGTAACGTGATTTTTAAAGATAGTTTTCACTCTTATAAGCAATTCAACACAAGTAAATAATGCGATCCTATCATTGAAGATGCAAGGGATTGTCGAGGCCATCTGGTGCCAAATGTGGATTCCAAACCCTGGTCCAAATTCTAGGTATGAGATTACATTTTAGGAGGCACGTGAGTAAGGAAAACAATGCTAAAAGAATGCCCGTTGGTAATGTAGTCATGTCACACTAGACGTTGGGAATGTCAAGGGAATCAGATGCTGAATCCAAATTCTAAATCGTGGTCCAAATCTTCAACATAGGGCACCATTTGAAATTTCCAAAACATAAAAATCAAAAGATTTAATTATTTAATAAGGGTTGTTCGGGTTTTATTACTTATTTTTATTTATTTATTTATTTTTGGAGTTGTTATTATCTTTGGTTGAAGTTCCTCCCAAAATGCTTTAATCACTTAAACTTTACCTAATCCACACAAAATCCAATTGAAATCTGGCATTCAATGGTTGATTCTCTTTCGTCGGCCAACAATAATGGTTGATTCAATGGTTGCATTTTTTCTTTGGTGTTAGATATGTAATCTATAATAATTGTACTCGTTGATATAATTATCGATATTTACGAGTTATAAATACATTTTGTTATCTTAACTACCACCCTTTATCCTCTAACGAATAATTTTTTTATAATTGAACTATAAATTAAGTCCCTATCGAACTAGTGAGGGTGAGTTCCACTATCCAAGTCCCGAAATCAGCACTTGAAAACTACTCATCTACTCGTCCTTTGAGATGATATCCCTAACTCTCTATGCAAGTCCCCAAAATGAAAGACATATTGAATCGACTATAAAAGTTATCACTAATGTCAATCAAAGAATAAACCCAAGTAAGAATTCTCATAATTCACTCAGAATTAGGATAAAAATATTAATTTTCTTAATTAACGGATTTATAAAGAAAATTAAATATTTTGAAATTCAGTCTTATACAAACACATTGTATAAGATATCCAACTCACACGCTTTCGCATGAACGATTTGGATCAAATCATTTATAATAATTATAAAGTAGGTGGTACCAATAGAAGACATCAAATTTTATTCATATACTATACCTGACATTTAGGTTATTATTTGAACATGATCATTTTAGATTATACTGTAACGTTTAATTTTTTAAATAATATTAAATTACAAATAAAATTATTTAAATTATTATTAAATTCCAATACTTAATTACAAAGTGTAATTAGGTAATAACTCCGACCATAATTATTTGTATTAGTAGTTCCCAAGTCTACAAGAGATCTTTAATATTGTAAATTCAACTTTAAAGCAATATATATAACGGCCATTTTTGTGACTTTCTCTTATCAAAACTCAAGGAATCGGTTTCAATGGATGATCTTCCATCTGTGAAGATAATTGAGATATGTAAAGTGGCTCCGCCGCCACCGGAGGCGTCATGTGCGGCGGTTGTGCCATCGTCTCTTCCTCTCACCTTCTTCGACATGATATGGCTGAGGTTCCATCCAGTCCAACGCCTTTTCTTCTACGAGTTACCGTCTAATGATATATCTTGTATTGACGAAATTGTTCCGAAGCTCAAAAAGTCTCTCGCTCTTACTCTTCGCCATTATCTTCCTCTGGCTGGTAACCTTGTCTGGCGTCCTCGGTCGGAGGTTCCAACCATCAAGTTTGTCGACGGGGATGGCGTTTCTCTGACGGTGGCTGAGTCGGGAGCTGACTTTTACCAACTTTCCGGCAATGGGTTCCGTGAAGTTTCTGAATTTCATCCTCTTGTCCCCCAATTGCCTGTTTCTCATGATCGTGCTGCAGTGATTGCCGTTCAGGTTCTTGGCTCCAAAACTTAAGTAGCTAACAATGATTGGTTTTTTTTTTTTTTTTTTTTAATAAAATTAAATTAAAAAGGTTAATCTTTTAATAATGCATGAGTTACAATGGTGTCGTCAGCCGTACAAGAATGTCTTTACTTTCTCTTCTTCCTCAATGATTATTTTATTGATTCCCCTCCACGTCCCATTGATACTAGCAATCAGTTTATCCTCTTGGCCGACAAAGTTACGTCACCGTTTTGTAGTAATCACTCGTGTGCATCAATGTGTTCCCTGGCTCGTTAGTCCTCCCTTTCATGATGCTATTTGTGCACTATACGGCGGTGTCACAGGGTTTCATGACCGTTCGTCTCCCTCTTCCTTCCCTCTCGTTTCTCGATGTTTCAATGGTTTGTGTTTTTTGTGGACAAAACGAGGAAGTTAGACTTAGTGAGAGGGGGACGGGCGTGTCATTGAGAGAGGTTGCCCGAAAATTTCAATGAGTCGACGGAATTTCCGAGGTTGCCAGCGACTGGTTATCTTTTATTTTTAACCGTTACAACAACGTTAAGAGACTGAATTGAAAAGTTATACTATAATATTATAATATAAAGGACTAAATTGAAGGGATTAAAAAAAAAATCTATTAAAGATTAGAAATTTTGATATATTGAATTGATCATTTATATTCTTAATACAGGTCACCACATTTCAAAACAAAGGGTTTTCCATTGGAATAACCAATCACCATGCAGTTATAGATGGAAGAATGTCAACTTCATTTATCAAATCATGGGCTCAAATTTGCATGGACCAATCATCTGTTCCAATCGCCAACCTAATGCCATTCTATGACAGGTCGGTTATTGATGATCCAAAAGGTCTTGCCAAAATCTATGCAAGCGCATGGCTGAACCAAGAAGGACCCGACAACAGGAGCTTAAACCTTAAACTACCCAAAACTAATCCTCGTTTAATCCGAAGCACTTTTGAGTTCACACACCAAAACCTGCAGAAGCTAAAGCAATGGGTTTTGAAGAAGAATGATGAGCAGATGTCTTCATTTGTAGTGGCAATGGCTTATCTTTGTGTATGTACAGCCAAGTTGGAGGGTTTAAGCGATGGAAAATTGTTGTTCATATTTACTGCTGATGTTAGATCTCGTTTAAAGCCACCGGTGCCTTTGAATTACTTTGGAAATTGCGTGGTTGGTAGCTTTCTTTCCATTGAAAGAGTTGAGCTTTTGGGTGAAAATGGCATAGCTTTGGCTTGTGAACAGATCTCAAAAGCTACTAAAAATTTAGGAGGAGCTTTAAAGGGAGAAGAAAAGTTGGGTAGACTTATGAGTGAAGCGACCAATGATTATTCCAAAATACAAGCCATTTCCCTTGCTGGGTCACCTAGATTTGGAGTTTACAATGCAGATTTTGGGTGGGGAAAGCCAATGAAGGTGGAAATAGTGTCAGCTGAATCACCATCAATGTTTACTTTGAGTGATAGCAGAAATAGCGATGTGGGAATGGAGATTGGAGTGGTTAAAGAGAGAGATCAAATGGAAGCTTTTGCTGCTCTGTTTAATGAAGGTTTTGATGCTCTTTGAAATCATTGCAGTCGATCCAAATGTGTTCGTGTTTATTAGGTTAAAATACTATTTCGATGGTCGATGTATTTTCAGGCTTATTTTATGTACTTTCTATATTTGAGGTTTATTAGTGTAATCTTTATATGTAGTTGACATTGGAAGAATCAGGTTCAAATAATATCTATCCTGAACATTTATAGTGAAGATTGCACAACAGATCTTTTAAATTTCCTCCTCAAGTTATTAAATTGCACAACAGATCTTCTAAACTTCCTTCTCAAGTTACTAAACTTTCACAAGCAATACTAAACTTTCTCAAGCAACTACTCACAAATCTTCACAATCTATTTGAACCTAAGAAATCTGCATCTGTGCATTGTTAGGTCGACGTTCTAACCACTTGAGCTATTCAACTTCACTTTTAATAAAGTTAACTCTTCAGCAATGTTATGCCACCTGTGAATTAAACCAGACTACCCCTGGATGATTTGAGTAAAAAAACGGCTAATTTGGTGGAAGAAAATGAAAACAGAAAATTAGAGAGAGAAATGTTGGGATTTGTTTTCCTGAAAAAGTTGTGATTTTGTTTCTATTCACCTGGTTAAATATTAAATGGCTATGTGTCCAAATGGCTACCTAAAAATGGCAATGTATTCACGTGTTTGTCAAATGGTGAAAAGAAAATAGTGAATTGTGTAAAAGCTAATAAGGAAACTTTAGGCTTTTATCTCACAATGATCTTGTTCCCATGTAAGAACGACAATCAACGCCTATCGACCAAGGTGTATTAAATTTCGAGTTTGAAGAGCAATATTATTAACCTTGGTCAAATGACAGAAGAAAGTATTAGAGTGAAGATAGTCGGCTCGTTTCTCAAGATATACGACATAAACTGAGCACTCTTGATGAAGGTAAGAGGGTAGCAAAACTGCATATATAAGATACTCTTAAAAAACCATCAACATCTTCAAAAAAGTGTCCATTGGTGTTGACAGGTGAGGAAGAAACCAATGAGTCAAGAGAAAAAGAAACCAAAAAATAGATCTAAGAAGCAACCAACAACTGCTCGAATCAGTGAAGTGCAACCTATAGGTCGATGTGTTTTATCAAAGTTATCATCTCAACCCAGAAGACCTAGAGGAAGACCACCAGGACGGTCCTAAGAGAAATGAGACGTCCAACTTTTCAAAGAAACCAAGGGACATGCTAGAACATAGGGATCAAATTAATATTTAAATTTTTAAAAAACAAGAAATGTATTTTAAATTAATTAGAAATATTTAAGAAATTGAATGAGTATATCCCAATTCCAAATACGTAGCTTACTCGAGAAAACAAAATTCAATTTCAATTCCTTGGTGGAAGTCCACTTGTTTTCGGGTTTGGTTCTGTGATCCCAAAGGCAAAATGGACGCTGAATTGCTAGAACTTCAGCGACAGTTCGAATTTGCGCAACAAGCGAAATCAAGCATTCGATTATCGGAAAGAAATGTTGTTGAATTGGTCCAAAAGCTTCAAGAGCTTCGTATCCTCGATTTCGAGCTCCTCCACACCGTCACCGGCAAAGAATATATCACTCCTGTATGACTATATTTCTCTAATCGCACATAATTTTCTTCTACCATCCACTTGTTAATCGCTTAATGCAAACAATTTTACTGCAGATATATCTGATTCTGTTAAACTGATGAATGTAATTGAAATTTTCTTAGCTGCTTGGTTTGTTTTTGCTCTCTCTCCGCAAGAGGCTTACTTCTTGAAGTGAAGTTTATATGCGAATATTTCTTAGGATATTATTAGGTTTTGAACAATGTGTTTTGTTGGAATGGAAAAATTCAATCACTTATGCAATTTCCTTTAGCTGGAAGGAGAAATTATTGTACGAGTTCGTATTGGATTGCCATTTATTTTGTTCTAATGCACTCTAATACAATAGGAGCACCTACGGCATGAAATATTGGCTGAGATTGAGAAGTTAGGACGCATTTCTTTGATAGATCTTGCGGATAATATTGGTGTGGATCTATACTATATCGAGAAGCAAGCTGAACAGATTATATCTGATGATCCACGGCTTATGTTGATTCAAGGGGAAATAATATCTCAATCTTATTGGGATTCTGCGGCGGAAGAAATAAATGAGCGGCTTCAGGAATCTAGTCAAATTGCTTTGGCTGAAATTGCTGCAGAGTTGCAAGTTGGTTCAGAATTGCTTGCATCCATGTTGGTTCAACGGCTTGGGACGCTGGTAATTTCTGCTCGCCTATCATGATCAGCCAAATTTAGGATAAGAAGGAAAATATTTCATGTGGTTTTGTGGATTTAGGTAAAAGGTAGGCTTGAAGGTGGTCAGCTATATACCCCAGCATATGTTTCTCGGGTTTCTGCCATGGTTCGTGGTGCCACCAGAGCTATTACCGTTCCTACAAATTTAACTGTAATATGGAGCTCTTTACAGCAATTATTGCTAGGAATTGATGGAGCTAGTGGTATAGCTGTTGATGGTTCATTTTTCCAGTCCCTTTTTAATGGACTTGTTAAGGAAAATGAAGTTCTTGGATCACTTCGTGCAGGTGTTCATTGGACACCAAAGGTATGTAATGTTTAACCTTCAAAAAATGTGTACATTTGCAAATTTTTTTTTTTTATTCAATGCTTATTTGCAGTTGAGTTATCTTCATATTTTATCATGAGTAAACCATGTGCTAGCTGATTGCTGCTGATCATTGTACTTATATTTAATTATAATAGGAAAAAAAAAAAATCAGATAGTTGGTGAAGGAGACGAAAAATAAAGAAATTGGGTTTGTAAGAGAATCGATACGGCAGTAGTCATATAGATTTTTTTGTTCCTCTTAATTTTGAAAATCTAATGTTGTTGTTTGGTTAATGTGAAATTATAATGCAGATATTTTCCATTGCTCAAAAAGAATGCATAGATTCGTTCTTCTCACAGGTATGGAACTCTTATTATTCTACTGTATTTATGTTGTGAAATTATGAATACGGATTTCTTTCTCATTTCTATAATTAATTTTGTGTATCAATATCATTTGAAAGGAATCATAGATTTCCTATATCATACTCTTAAATATAAAGCGTCATACTATGTGCTCACTTATAGAACCGAAAACTTGGAGAAGTTTGGACTTAGGAGAGCGTTGGAAAATATTTTTCCTCAGTAATACTATGTGCTCACTTATGTTATTTCTATAATTTAATACAGAATTCCGTCATTAACTATGAGTTTCTGCGAAAACTTGGGATTCCCAACCCCATTCAGTTCTTGCAGGTACTTTGTTTCTTTTATCTCGAGTTTTCACTTTAAAATAATGGAATCTGTCCTTACATCGTAAACTTATGGTAGAGATGTTGCTTCATTCTAGTCCAGATATCCTGATGGCATTCCTTTAAGTACTACATTCATTCACCCTTCAATAATTGAAATGTTGGATTCTACTGTTGAGGATATCCTTGAGCGTGGTAGCTGGTAAGGGTTATATTTTGTAATATAGTTAATTTGTCTTTCATATTTGTTGTTCATAAATATTTGGAAGTTGGAACTTACTCCATTTTAAAATATTATTTAGACCTATAAATACTCAGGGGCTGAATGGAACTTGGTAGGAATGTTTTACAATAGATCTTCCTTTATTCACAAACCTTTCTTAAATGCTTAATTTACCTTTTATGTGAACAATTATTTGCACGTTTTAATATCAGTATTCAGTATAACGTTTGCAATGCTTCCCCTGCACTTAATTTCTAATGGTGCAGGACCAATTCTCTTCTTGTTCTTCCTTCATCATTTGAGCCCCAAGATGCATCTAAAATTTTGTTATCTTGCCCATCTGTTCAGGTAGCTCTAAAGGTGAGTATAATTGCGAAGTTGTGCTATTACTCATCTAATGACATGTGTAACTGAAAAATTATTATGTTTCTTTTTCTTTGCAGTGTAATAAAGCTTTCATATTTGGTGATTCATTTATATTCAGCAATATTTTTATCAAGGTATGGTTTTTTCTTTTAAAATTTTGTTGTTCTTCAGTTTCATAAGAAGAATCTAGGATTCCTTCCGTCTGATGAAGCATGGACATCTTTTTTTCGCCAGGGTGTTTGTCTGACATGTGTCTGACACCCTAATAAACGTGCTTGAAAGAATTACTTTATTTTTCTAATTTTGGACACGGCTTGGACATGACTCTCAAAAATATTTAACCTTAAAATTAGAAAAAAAAAAAAAAGTTCAGATCCTTATATATTGATCAATCCTAAAGTATTAGGAGGACATCTTCATCCTGTAGTCTTAGCCAATTAAATTCTGTAATATCTTTTAAACATGTTCCCAACATGTCCATGTCCTACTTTTTAAGAAATTGACATGTCGCCTTGACCTTGTGTCATGTCCCATGTCCATGTCCGTGCTTCTTAGCTTCCTTCTTCTTGTGAATTTGAGTTGTAATTATTACTAGATGGTAGTTGTGTACTAGTTTACTATCTGTCTGCTAGTCTTGACAGGTTTGATAGTTTATACCATGGTGGAAAAGTACCTGGGGAGTTTGGAGTCGGAGGGGGAGCAAGGTTGTGGTTTTACATGATAAATTGGGAGGTTGTTTGTTGAATAGACTTTATGACCATTTTGAATGTCTTGAGCATTGCATTGTACATGTAGTTATCAGACTTTGACTTGACCTATACTCTCTCCTTTGCCTCTTATCTCTCTCCTGTCCAAATTAAGGAGTTTGGATTTGTTGCCATATCCCAGAATTATGTGAAACTTGTGGTCTAATTTCCAAGATGATGGATAAATAAATGACTCATAAGGAGTAAATCATACGGAACATTTAAAGAACTCTTGAACCTAGTTCCACTCTTTAAATTAATTGTTTAAATTGGTATATTAAACAATCTTGGACCTGCTTAAATCAGGATCTCTATGATCGCATGGAGAAGGAAATGGAGACCATGAATGTCCCAGGATCTTCTACTGCCAATTTTTCTGGAGATTCGCTGAGCATTAGTAAAGTTGGAAATGATCCAAGCATGTCTGCTGAGTCAATTGAACCGGGAAATAATAGTGCTAAAATTGGAGAGATCATGGAGAAAAAGTCAAAGAAAAAGAAAGGTAAATCAACTGGAAATACTCAAACTGTAGCTGCTGAAGGTGTTCTGGATGACCAGGAATCTTCAACGAAATCCAAGAAAAACCAGAGGAAAGCTAAGGCTACAACGTCTGTACAAGTGGCAGAGACTAAAGCTGGGGGTAAAAAGGAATCAGTTAAAACAAAAGAGAGCAATATTAATCACCCTACTGAAGAATGGGTTATTGAGAAGCTCAAGACACTGATACCTGATCTTGACGAACATGGTTTGAAACTTGTTTTCAATGAAATTTAAAATTTTTTAGTATTTTGCATTCATTTTAGTCCTTATTCTGGCATACTAAATTGTATTAGGCATAGATGATCCTGCAACAATCCTCCAACCTTTGGTAAATCATTTCAGACCTATGCTGAACAATTCGTGGCGGGAGAAAAGAAAGGCATTATTTACAGAAAATGCAGAGAAAATGAAGCGCTTACTTGACAGTACACAGCAGAAACTTGACGAGGTAAATATAGTTATATTGCCCTATGTTGGTGGCATCATATGAATATTTCATTTCAACATTGCTCTCATTCTGTTTTGAATGGGTAATAAGTTTGAGAAGTTTATGATATATTATTGAAAACATACACAGAAGGGAACTGTATGCTAAGCATGCATTTTTCCATGCAGTCTTTCATAAATTTGCAGCTGTATGAAAAAGCCTTAGATTTATTTGAAGATGACCAGTCAATCTCTGTAAGTAAAACGTTTGGTAAATAATTTTTACAGATGTGAATGTGAATCGGGTATAACCACAAAAGAGATATTGGTAATGCTTTTACAGGTCGTTTTGCACCGGCATTTGTTAAGAACGTCAGCTGCACCAATTGTGGATATGCTTTTTCATAACTTGGTAAACTTATAGATATTTCTCTTTAATACTTTAATTGAATCCAGAGAATGAGATAATAATTAATGTTTTATTGGTGCTATGGATTTCTAATGTAGGATTTGTACAATAAGTTGAAGAACGGAATTGAAGTTGCAGAAATGCAGAATTCAGAACCAGTCTCACTCAGTACTGGAGAGAGAACTACAATTGTACGGGGAAAAAAACCTTTAGATGAGTCATGTTATGACCATTCGGAAAGAAAAAAAAAAAAAAAGGACAGATTATCATGGTTTTTCTTTCTTTTGAAACTTCTAAAACACTTGGCTTGTTTTCAAGAAATGATATGTTCACAGTCGTAATTATGTACCCGTGCATTTTAGGCTAAGAGCTTTCCTGGATCTCTGTCAAATAAGGCTGTCACTGTAGCTGAAGCTTTGGAAGGGAAGGTAAGTGATTGATTGCCAAGAAGATATTGCTTGTTGTGGCGCATGTATATCATCATTTTTTTTAACAAAAAAAAACCTGTTGTAGAGAATGATTTTCGATTGCCTTTTTACTTTGGAAAATTGTGTGGCAGATAAGTTATCATATTTCTGCTTCAACATGGTCAATCTCTCTCCGTCTTTTTGTTTTTCCATTCTTCAAAGTTATTGCAAGTTAGGGTTAGAGTGCAATTAAAAATGTTAGTTAATGTTGTTTATAAAATAATTTGATGCAGAAAATAGTCATTTGGGAGTCGGTTTTTTTCTCTGTCCCTTGTATTCTTTCACTTTTACTCAATGGAAATTTGGTTTCTCATCAAAGAATACAGAAGCATAAATTGTTGCAGAGTTTTCTAGAATATAAGTTTTATTTTTGTTAAGGCTTCTGAATTTAAGTCCTAATTTCTTGATAGATTGATTGCCAAAGTGCTGATCTTCCTTTTTCTTTTCTTTGTCCCATCTTGTCTTATCTTCTGTTTTTAGATTTTAACAGCCGCCCGCCAAGGTCTCTGAACTCTCAAATGGATCATTAAATTTCAACAACCTTCTTTTGTTGTCTAACATCACAATCACTTTTTTCATTTAACTTTTTTGTTTGTTAGAGAGTAATGAGATACTATATCTTTTCTTTGTTATTTTTTAAGAATTTATATCAATTTTTAAACTTCATTTTCAATCCGGCCCATTCACTTCTTTTTTTTTTTTTTTTTTTTTTTTTTTTTTTTTTTTTTTTTTTTTTTTTTTT